CATCCCTTTTAAAAATTTCCCAAAATTCCAAAAAATGAATTGAAATAAAAAAGAATAAATCGTCTTTGGGGTTAACTAAGCGTCCAAACGACTTCGGAATATCCTGCAACTCTTTAAGACAGTTTTTTTTTAAAATTTGGGAGAACGCCATAATTTTTGGGTTCCCTTATATATATATATATATATATATATATATATATATATATATTTTATATATATATAAAAATGTTTTTTTTAACTGATTGATGTTATTTCAGCACCCCAAAAAGAGTTTCGTAGATGGACCCCAGGAATATATATATATATATATATATATATATATATATATATATAAATTTAAGAGGATAGAATTAAAGGGAATTTGTCCAGGACAGAGTAAAACATAATAAAAAAGGGTAAAACATTTATATTCCATGGTTATAATTTATTACATTGGAATCGAAAAACACGTTAAATACATCAGACCTAAAAATTTATATATATATATATATATATATATATATATATATATATATATATATATATATATAAAATTTTTTTCCACCTTTTTAAAAACACAATGTACTAATCACGGTTTTCAGACACTATACATTCGGGGTTTTAAATTTGTTAAAAAACTGTTTTTTAAAACTGAGCATTTACTTAAAATTTGTATCTATAAAAAAAGGGTTAAATAAAAAATTCAAAAATAATTGTCGGGCTATGTCCTTTTTAAAAATTGTGGCGTCAGAAACCCACGATAAAAATGACCTGTGTCGTATGCAACCCCGTGGGGTGGCTATTACTGATCAAGCCGATCTTTTCTGACTTGACGGTCGAACTCTCTGCTTTTTGAGCAGAAAGGAACCCGGACGACGTTCCGCCGGCGGCGGAATCTCGTTCAGGGGTGAATGATACCCTGATCTCGTTTTTACGAGTCATACGGGCATATTTTTTGGCTGAGCCTACGGGCTCAGAAACCCGATAAAAATGACCTTGTGTCGCATGCAACCCTCGTGGGGGGTGGCTAGATACTGAATCAAGCCGATCTTTTCGACTTGACGGTCGAACTCTCTGCTTTTGAGCGAAAGGAACCCGGACGAGGTTCCGCCGAAGGGCAGAATCTCGTTCGGGGTGAATGACCTTCTGATCTCGGTTTTTGAATGACCTACCCCCTGATCTCGTTTTACGAATCAAGCCGATCTTTCTCGACTTGACGGTCGAACTCTTTTTTGGCTGAAAGGAACCTTCCGCCGACGGGCTCGTTCGGGGTGAATGACCTACCCTGATCTCGTTTTTAAAATATTTTGAGCCTTGGGCTCCAGAAACCCACGATAAAAATGACCTTGCGTCGCAACCCCTCGTGGGGGGTGGCTGAATACTGAATCAAGCCGATCTTTTCGACTTGACGGTCGAACTCTCTGCTTTTGAGCAGAAAGGAACCCGACGAGGTTCCGCCGAAGGGCAGAATCTCGTTCGGGGTGAATGACCTACCCTGATCTCGTTTTTACGAGTTATACGGGCATATTTTGGCTGAGCCTACGGGCTCAGAAACCCACGATAAAAATGACCTTGTGTCGCATGCAACCCTCGTGGGGGTGGCTAGATACTGAATCAAGCCGATCTTTTCGACTTGACGGTCGAACTCTCTGCTTTTGAGCAGAAAGGAACCCGGACGAGGTTCCGCCGAAGGGCAGAATCTCGTTCGGGGTGAATGACCTACCCTGATCTCGTTTTTACGAGTTATACGGGCATATTTTTTGGCTGAGCCTACGGGCTCAGGAAACCCCACGATAAAAATGACCTTGTGTCGCATGCAACCCTCGTGGGGGGTGGCTAGATACTGAATCAAGCCGATCTTTTCGACTTGACGGTCGAACTCTCTGCTTTTTGAGCAGAAAGGAACCCGGACGAGGTTCCGCCGAAGGGCAGAATCTCGTTCGGGGTGAATGACCTACCCTGATCTCGTTTTTACGAGTCATACGGGCATATTTTTGGCTGAGCCTACGGGCTCAGGAAACCCACGATAAAAATGACCTTGTGTCGCATGCAACCCTCGTGGGGGGTGGCTAGATACTGAATCAAGCCGATCTTTTCGACTTGACGGTCGAACTCTCTGCTTTTGAGCAGAAAGGAACCCGGACGAGGTTCCGCCGAAGGGCAGAATCTCGTTCGGGGTGAATGACCTACCCTGATCTCGTTTTTACGAGTCATACGGGCATATTTTGGCTGAGCCTACGGGCTCAGGAAACCCACGATAAAAATGACCTTGTGTCGCATGCAACCCTCGTGGGGGTGGCTGAATACTGAATCAAGCCGATCTTTTCGACTTGACGGTCGAACTCTCTGCTTTTGAGCAGAAAGAACCCGGACGAGGTTCCGCCGAAGGGCAGAATCTCGTTCGGGGTGAATGACCTACCCTGATCTCGTTTTTACGAGTCATACGGGCATATTTTTGGCTGAGCCTACGGGCTCAGGAAACCCACGATAAAAATGACCTTGTGTCGCATGCAACCCTCGT